CCCTCTACCCCCCCCACCAGAGACGATGGGCGACGTTTGCATTTCTCCTTTTGGATATTTCTCTCAAAAGGACACGATGTCACGCAGTTCTAGTTTCCGGCTCCTGAACGCACCACTGCGTAATTTACGCAAATAACGTCGCAAAATGAGAACAAAACCAAACGGTTTATGTCGCAAATAAGAATAACGCAACCGTGACATGGCGTTTATTGGCTAAAGGAAAAACACCTGGCAGGCTTTAAGCGGCCCTGCATGCAGAAATATCACCCCCCACACCCCCCCACCCCCCCCACACCCCTAACTCCCTTTCCATGCGAAAATGAGCCTCAGTGGTAAATAAGGAGAGCATCCTTTACCCGAACATCCCTCCGAGGAAGGATCCGGAAGCTTTGACCTTCTTGTCGGCCTCGGCCATGAGCTGCATGGCCTCCTTCTCTTTTCCGGAGTTGTCCATGGTTTAGTTTCTGAACGGGAGCAGAGCAGGAAAACAGGCCGCTGTTCCGCAGTGGACGGAGAGAAGAGATGAGGAGGAGGAAGAGGAGGAGGAGAGGAAGACTCTGCTGGTGCTGATGCTGAGCGATGCGATGCTCTTCTTCTGAGGAAGAGAGCAGAAATCAGTTTGTGTCTCACAGTCTCCCCCTGGTGGACGGAAAGTGGAAAAACCAGGAGCCGGAGCAAGGAGAGCTCCAGCTTTTATTTTTATTTATTTATTTATTTATTTATTCATTTATTTATTTATTTATTTATTTATTTATTTATTTATTTATTTATTTATTTATTTATTCATTTATGTATTTATTTATTTATTTATTTATTCATTCATTCATTTATTTATTTATTTATTTTTCCATTTATTTATTTATTTATTCATTTATTTATTTATTTATTTTTTTATTTAATCAGGACAGTGCACATTAATGAACAATCTCATACAGATTGTAAAGCCAGATTCTAGCATAGTTGCTAATTCGCGTCTGTCGTCCTGAGGCAGGAAGACCAAACAAAACAAACCAGGAGCCGGAGCAAGGAGAGCTTCAGCTTTCCAGACTTTCCAGATTTAGACTTCCTTTGTTGTCATTGTACAAAAAACACAAGGTGAATCTTGACAACGAAATGTC